CCAGCATACTATTATCCTGTTCTGCTTTCTCATTAATCATGTCTGTACCAAAAAAAAACAATTCCACCCAAATGACATTTGACTTGACCACCCTGACACGGTCATGTTTCGAACAATAGATCATGCAAATTTCAAGAAAAGAGCTGCAATGTATACAGATGCATGGTTGTTCCAACAGCTATGCCTGAACGGATACTGTTACAATCATATCTGAGGCAGGCTTGTTTTAGACCAAAAGGCTGAACAATCTTGGTCTAATATTTCACTTTCTATTGTCCAGAGATTGTAATGCGGACATCTGATTCTTCTAAAGTTGTTCACCTGATCTTTATTTCCACTCAACACAAGCACAGAAGGCATTACGTGTGAAGTTACTTTGAGAAAGGATAATTCGATATGGTCTGATCCACAGCAATGATGATGTCAACATGCTGTTAATCTGATTGGCTCAGTGTCCTCGGGAGATACCCCATCAACCAACCACAGCCAGTCTTGTTTACAGAGTTTCTTAAAAAGCTGAATCAGCCAACCATTGGCAGCCAACTATAGATTCAAGGGACATAATCATCTACAAAGATCTTCATCCTTGAAATCCCTTCATTCCACATTCTTGGCAATTAATCCACTCTGTGTTCTCAGCAGGCTAGTTTCAGTAACTTATATTTTTCCTTCTTTTTTCAACCTTGCTTAATTGGATCAACCTCCCAGGGGCCCCGAAGAATTTCTTAGAAATGGTCAACAACAATTCTCTTGATTTGACAGAAATGAGTGTAAGCTGTTCCCTACAGGTTTATTTTGTAGTTACACTTTTCAAGTTCAAGGGTGGATTTTTCACAGTAGTCACTTTGATTTACTAACTACGCTTGGTTACAAATCCTTTTTCAAAACTAGAATGATAGATTCCAAGCACTCAAAAATTGAGAAATACGAGCAGATATAGAGGGTGAGAGTCTAATACCAAAACGAGGGGCGAAAAAGGATCTTTTAGCAGTACTAAAGCCACTCACAAAATAAGAATATCTTTTTAAAAATCTTCTTTTTATGTAGAATAATCCTGAAACTTTAACAAAGAATCTTTTAATTGAGCACTTGTGACATCATCGATTTTATTTGACGACGAAGACAAGATCTGATCTCAAAGTAGATACATCTTACAGTGAACTTGAGCACTACAAATTTTTTTTATGTGTATGTTATCTAAACAATGCCTGTATGATCTCTCTTTTTCTTAAAATGACAACAAATTTTGTAATATTTACTCCGAGTAATTGGTGTAATGATATTAAAATTGGATGCTTATTTAATGGTAATTGTAAATAGGTCTTTGATATCTAACTTTTCCATTTGTTTGTACAGAGCTTACACAATTATGAAGCCATTGTTCCTGGTGATAAGGTCAAGCTTCCGGATAACGTTTCATTTGCATGAATTATTTTTGGAGGTCTGGATTTTGCAATATGAGACTGGTATTTCTCAACCTTATGTGCGTTCAACAATGTACAAGTGTACATGCTGTAAGCACTACAAAACGAGGAAAGCAAATATGCACAGGGAACGGCACGTCAACATCTACAATATTTCACCTGGATTTTTGAACACTGACTCATCTCTCAACATTGTGGGATTTCCTAACAGAGTCACCGTTGCTCATAAATTATTCATTATATCATATGATTTCATGACATTTTAGTGACAGCCTGACAAGACCATCAATCCAAAGTCATAGGATTGATGGGCAAGAATTTTAAAATCCCCCAAATCCAATTGAGTTCCATCAACTAAACTGGGCATCCAACGATTGTGGAAAGATAGTCCTGAGTTTTGAATTCATTCAAAACCTGGAGGCCAGTTTGGATGGACTAAGATTATGTGCACTAAATCAAAAAGTTTGTGCTAGTGAAATGTTTTAAAAAACTTGTCGGTGAAGAAGCCACTTTGTAAGCTCAATGTCACACAGTGCGCTTTATGGTCATGTGTATGTAAAGTCTTGTGTTAAGATTCAGATCAAAGGTATATTTACTTTGTGCATTAAAAGCCTCTTTAGATGACAGAAGTACACAGACCAAGGACTTTGAAATTTCCAATGACAATGAACCCAAAATATCCACTGAAAAACCAAACACTGCCTGATAATTTTCCAAAAGATCCTGAAATCACAATACCAAGATTTTGTCCTAAGTTTTGTTATTCAGCAGTGGGTGAGCTACGCCTCTTGTGAAGGCCAACAACTGTAAAGTATCTTCCCACTTTGCTGAAATTCCTAACAGTAAAAACGTATCAGATTTCCTTTACACTGTAGAACTTTCAGGTGCTTATCAGTCAGAAAGAAAATGTTTTCAATTTGTTTCCCTTGTCGATTTGGTTGCTGGGAAGCAGTGACACTAAATAAGTTTGAGACAATCATTGTTTGGGACAAAAAAGTTTATCTCTGACCAGAACTTCCTGAATTACATCAGCAAGATTTCACCACTGATCAAGACTGCCTGGACTGAGCAGCCTGTAGCCACAAATAACACCATGCTCAAGAAATTAAGTCCATGTTAACCCTCAGACACATGATGCTGAAGTATTTTGCTAGTATTTGAAAGGCACATCTATGTGCCAAGTATAGTCAGGAGATGGTACAGTGGATGACTATCGAAGTGCCTCCTCTCCCGCCCATGACCTTCACCTTCAGAAAATCCTTTCCCATTTCCTGCACAGCTGAGTAAGATGACGAGTTACATTACGATAACCATCATCAGTTTTGAGAACAGTCCTTTGACCCACAGATTGTCACTTCCAATATCAAGTGTTAAACTGTTGACTGACAAGTGAAAAGTTTACATTTATTTCCTTTTTTGAACTGATGTAGCATGACAAATGGGGTATTAAGTTCTTAGATTTCAGATGATTAGATTGGACCTCTTGACTAGGATGGGTGATGGTAGTCATGAAGTCACCCAATTTATTCTTGACGAGTCAACGTCCCTGTCTAAATACTGCCCCAAAAATGTTACATACAGACCTGGTAAAACAGATACATATGAAACTAAACAATTTTAGGATTTTTTTGTTTCTAACAACATAACTTTTTCAAGCTCCATTACTTGATCTAAAGTATCTACCATAAATACATACATGGTTATCAATACATGTGATGTCTATATACAGGATGTGGCAATGTTCATCACGGTAGCTATGGTTACAGCAGCTCCCAATGTCCCAGAGGCACCATTCCATGCAAATATAACTTCCGGAATTAGAATCCTTGTAGAGACAATGCTTTCTTCTCGTGTACTAAAATACTCGGGTGTGAAGCGCTGTTTTCAAAATGCTCCCGTTTTTAGCCAGAGTCACTTGCCTGGATTGAAATTTCAACCGCATGTCCCTTATATAAATACTTCCGTTTTCTACAGACAATTGCACACTGAAAATTCCTCCTTGTTGAATTATTTCCCAAAACCAATTTTGTTAAATTCTTGAAGAGACCTTAACACCTGCAGAATTTCCCTGTGGAGACCTTTTCAACCTATTGTCCTGGGTCTCCACTAGGCAACACATTTCAGAACAAAGCAATTAGTGCGTCACAGACTCTCATTGTTTGCTTTGAAACCAGTTGGAATTTACGTTGGACAAATGATCTACATGCCAAATGGGAAAATGGCCTAACCTAATGCCTGCGTGGATTAACACTACAGCAAATATGATTTCACCAATCTGAGAAACAATCCATCATTCAAAGATCACCGGATATGGCTGGCATTTTACAGCCAAAGTCAAAACCCCACCAGACAAACAAGTTTTTCCTGAATTCGCCAAACAATTCTTGGTTGAAGCTCTTATGACATGGACAATGACCCACAGCCTTGCTTTCCAAAATTAGCCAAGAAACGGATGATGAAATTCCTGAACTGTTCACCTAGCCCTACCTCCCTATGGTCACACACAATGGCAGGAAACATTAACTGACCACAACAGGAAACTCAACCATGGTGTGATTTACCCAGCCCTATAAGCCTTGTTTCTATCAAAGTTAGTTTTTCAGTACCTGCCGCCAAGAACTTTCTACTAACACATCAATAGAGGGCAGCATATCACATACACATGATTGACTTAAGTCCTTACATTATATGTTATGTACAACTTTTTTCACTACCAACATAACAGGAAAACTTCTGATTAAACCTTTTGCTGCTTAAACTGTTTTAACTTCAAAAGTTCCATTTTTGCAGGATTCTGAAGAGGTAAACGAAGTGACGGTTGGCAAATAAAAATCTTGAATTAAAAATCTGGTAAAAACACAATCGAATTGTTAGGGAAACTACAGACTGCCAGAATACTCCTCCCTGTTTTGCTTGTTTCTCCAATGTTTTGAGGAAGAAATGTACTAGGATACTGATTTCCAAAACACTGTCCCACTGCTGTATCAACTCAAGATAATTTGACACTCTACTAGCGATCAAAAGCTAAAACATGGCAGTTGTACAAGTAAATTGTTCACTTGTTGGTTGCTGGTTGGGTCTTCCGACATTTTCTTGTTTCACAAGCAGAAATTGCCTTTTAACTTAATCACTGTTCCAATGTCAAAAACATGTGTTTCAAGATCAACAAAATTCATTTTGGTATGTCAGTTTTGGAGTCAAGTTCACGATCTTCAAGGCCAAGGCTGTGTCTGAGTCAGAAGTCTCCAAGGCCAAGGCCAAGACCAAGTCACAGCCATTTGAGGTCAAGGCCACAATATCCAAGACCAAGGTCATAACCGAGTCATTACATGGCGAGGCCAAGGCTTTCAAACATCAGCCTTGAGGCCGGCTTCGAGACCTTCAACACTGCTGTGTGTATACGTCACATGGGCCAAGGATTACACCCACAATCGAACAAATTACTGGCCATCATAAGAAAAGGAAACAAGAGGTATAACTCACAGAGGGCCAACACCTTTAGTTTAAAAAAGATCCAAAAAATCAAGATGACAAATAAATCAAGCTAAATATGATTTTGATAATTTGAGCCCCTACCTCTTCATCCTCATCTTCATCGTCATCATCATCTCCTCCTGATGATGAAGAATCACTGATGTACTCCTTACTCTTATAGTTCCCTCCTGACCCAGCGCTGGATGGCTTCTTAGTTGGGCTGGACGCAGAATCAGATGACTTGGTCTTCTTACTACAAGGACGAACAAGAATAAAGACACAAAGTTGAGGTATGGTTGGAAATAACAAGGGACATGCATCACGGTGCAATTCCAATGCAATTAAAAGCAGGCAAAATGTTCCTTCGTTTATCTATGAAACAAAAGCTTTACATCGACAAACACAAGATGGAGAACAGACATTTTACTTTTCAAACTGTTTGAGTCAGGTGAGCACCTAAACCACTGTTAATCATCATCTCAAACTTCTTGAACAAATCTGTAACCTTGTCTCCTTTAATTTTGATCCCTGTTTATTGTTTCCTCATCTTTCACACGTAGTAACCCTGGTTGGAATCAAGACAACATATCAATCGCTCTTTGCAGGCTGCCGCCACAGGCATGCAGAGCCTTGAAGTGGCAGCTTGTACAATTGCATCAGAATTGCTTTGTCCAATTGCATGGTACAAAAAAAGCAGCACGCACAAAATTACATAAGCAACATACATCGAGGCTCTGCGTGCCTATGGCGGCAGCGTGCAAAGAACAAATGGTGGTTTGGAATTGTTAAGAGGAGCCCTACAATGGTTTTCCTGTAAAGTTCGCCTTTTGCACCTAAATATACAAATTTCTTCACCGTCTTCTCTAGGAAAGCTTCTTGTCGCTTTTACCAATGTTAAAAGTGAATTTTAGTTTTAAGTGGCTCTTCATTATGAAGAATTGAAATTAAAACATGGAAAAACTGATGATGTGAGCGATGCACTTACGGAGTTGTTTTTTTCTGAAAGGAACCACCTTCTGCTTTCAGTTTGGCCTTGTATTCAGCCATGGCTCTGGTGTAAGCTTCCTTTAACTTAGCGGCCTTCTCCTGCCACTCAGATTTGTCTTCTAGTTTGTTCCACATCTCGCCAGCCTTCTTGGACACCTCGGTCACACTGATGCCTGGGTAACTCTTCTTGATCTCCTCTCTATGCTCTGTCAGCCAGATCATGTAGGCCGAGCTGGGCCGTCTCGGCATGTTCGGATCCTTCTCTTTCTTCTCCTTTCGTTTCTTACGTGGTTTTTCTGACTATTTCCAAATGGACAGAAGAATGTCTTGCTTTCAACATCTCTGAATTGAAGTGATTATTAAGTGAACAACTAGGTACAAGAACAGTACTATAAAACTAGTCAACTGGACTTACAGTCAACTTCAGAGCTGGAGATGAGTCATAAGGCCGTGAAGTTTTCACGTAAGTCCTGTTGGTCAGTTTCATAATTTGTAATACTGCCAAGTGACCAAGATGAATCAAACTCTCCATCTATTTATGTGTAGGAACGTGGATTAGACTAACTTTAAATTTTCTCCAAAAAGTCAGCAAACCAGGCTTATTACAACAAGGGACAATAACAAATGTTACATTATCTTCTTGCCTGTACTTCAGTGGTATAAATCAAGCCCATGATTTAAGAAATATGCCTCAGAATAATGGTTCAAACTAAAGGTTTAAGGTTGTCCTTCAGACTGCATGGCCTGTAATGAAAGTTGAACAGTAAGGGTGACGCCCACAGCTTAAAAAAAAGACATCCACAAAAAGGTGAAAAACCTCCAAACAGGAAATTAAGCATCCAAGCAAAATCTCTGAATTTTTTTCTTTCCTTGCAGAGGAGACTCATTGAAGCAAAAGGGTTAATGCTACTTACCACCGTCTTGACTTTCCTTTTTGGTTTACTGTCTCGATGCTTCTTACGTTTCAGTTCTCCCTCTTCAACCTCTGAAGAGCTGGCATCCGATAAGGATGAATCACTGGTGGACGGGTTACTGTCGTATCTAATCCCAGAAACAATTGTGTCAAAACTGGTCAGAAATCTGCTCATTGTGTATCAATTTCATTTACGTATTTCACCACATTTCTCAGGTTTTAGCTGAGAAACTTAAAGAACGGGAAGGATGGGATGTTTAAGATTACCATAACTCATACATATTCATGATTGAAAGTCTATTTTTACTGGTCCAATCAGAGCATGCCTATTGCTGTTTTTTTTTGCTGCTTACAAGGCACAAAGTATACGCAAGGATCCATGCGCAAGTTAAGTACTCATGAAACTGTCACACAAGCCAAGTATTCATGCGCGAGCACAGCCTTAGCTATGCTATATTCACTCTAACAGTGGGTGGCACACGTACATGCTGCCTTTCCCTTGTTCCTGATTTGTTACTAACAACTGAATATGTGCGAGGTATGTAGTAAAACAATTACACGTATACATGTACATGTATGTGACCGGTCACCACAAAATGAGCTGGAAGTCAGAATTTTCAAAAATCGAGATATTGGTATTTTTTAATTCAGCAGAAAGAGAGCTTTCCAGTGGTATGTACATGGAACACTTAAGGTAGAGGTATTTAAGGTGACAATGTGGCATTATTCTGGCAGCTTTGCACTTTTTGTTTCAGAAATCGTTTCAACATTTCAGACCAGGCACGAAGAATGTTATCATCAGAATTGCTAAGAAAATCCTTTGAAATATTTGGAATTAACCAGGCGACGGATTACTCTTTCCAAATATTACAAAACCCAAAACTGACCTCCACTTCAATATGACTTTTAATCCCTAAAAAATAGGAAAGAGCAGGATGCAATTTTACACTCATTTTGTCGTGACAGGTCACATATGGAGGTTTATTTTGGTTGGATAGTTCAATATTATTTCCCATCGGGAACAACTTTGCCAAGTATCAACACCGCTGGAAGGGTAGATTGGCTTTCCACCCTCAAACAAGGCATGACGTGCATGAACATACACATGTATCTTCTAATTTTCTTTTATGAAAATCAGCAATACTCAAGTTGTGAGCAGAGAATGCAAAGCTGTTGCTCTCGTTGTTGGGAATAGATTCAGCAAGGTCAGAAAATTTTTCTTGGAAAATTATTGTCGAATTTTGACCGTTTCAGTAAGAAATCTGGTGAGGTTAAGTAAAGCATCCAATCTCTGATATTTGGTAGTAAAAAATTCTTGTTTTACTTACTCCTCTGCCACATCACTTCCACTGTCTCCAGGTTTGAAATCACTATCTGCCAATCAAAAAAAAAAAAAAGTGATTATTCTTGATGAAGTGCATCAGGATCCTGACTACTGCTGGCCAAGAACAAGTCTGTCTTGATAATGTGAAATCGAACAACATGCAGCACCTGGTTTTGGTCATAGTTTGTTGGATTCAGAACTGCACAGCTCAACCACTATGGAGTTTTGCTTCAGTATTACTGCAATGTTGAATCTTGGTGATTCATTTCATTAACTTTGATTATATATACTTAACAGAATGCTTGCCATACTTTTATACTTTTTGGATAATCGTGATTTGGGTAGGACAGTCAGGCACCCGCTTACCTGAGGCATCAGAGTCCATGTCAGCAATGTAATCCTCGTCTGGTTCCCCATCATCTCGTTCCCTCCCTTCAGCTTTCATTTGTTCCAGGTAGGCATCATGGGTATCTTCGTCATCATCACTGTCCACCATATCCTCATAGTTGACTGACTTTCCCTTTGGTGGAAGACAGATTCATAACAAAGAAATTGTTTAAAATCAGGAATATCAGAAAGTAAAGTAGATAGAGCCCTCACAGTGCTGTCACATTTGCTATCAGCAATCTTTGCATCTGTTGGAGAAACAGTTGCCTCCCCTTGATCGCATTCAGAGACAGCAGAAATTTCAACAAATTTTAAAGGAGCAACTAACTTCAAAAACTCAATAAACTGAAAGATCGTTTATAAACGACTTGAGATTTGGACCAGTGTCAGGAAATTTTAATTGAACCTTTGTTTTCAAAAACATAACTTTTTCAGGCCAAAAGTTGACTTACGTCCTTGATGTTGCCACCTCTGTTCTTGACTCTGAGTTTCTTGTTGCTAACGAAGTCAAAGAGAGGACTGTACTCATCCCTTAAAAAAAAAAGTCCAAAAAGAAACTGCATCTGTTAACTTGCAATTCACAGGCAAAATATGAAGCACCTTGACTTGAACATCCTTTTGCCTCTAGATGGCAGGCTTTGGACAGACTCGTTACTTAACCCTGAATAAAAACAACCACAAAGAATCTGATAAGTCTTACTTTTCTATGCTACTGAAGACATAGACATTTCCGTTCCTGGTCTCAATCTCAAAATCAAAGTAGCGAGAGCTGCCAGTACCCCGAGCAAAGTTGACGCAAGCGATCTCCTCAAAGCGGATGTGGATGGGGGGTTTGTGAACGTAGATGAATCCCCTCTCCAAGGGGTACAGGAAACCACTGTTGGACCGGTAGGAACAGCTCACAGTCTGTGCTCCGGATCGACTGCAAAGAGAAGAAATCATTTAAACATAAAATAAACAAAGATGAGACATTCCCTCTAAAAAAAAAAACAAGACTGTGTCATGTTCTATTTTTTGTAGATAAAAAGTATTTCTAGTCTGAACATAAGGGTGGGAGATAAGGGAGTGAAAAATCAAAATGCTAGAAATACTTCCCTCGGTATATATCAGGCATGCAAATTGGACGAGGAAATTCCAATCTTTACAAGACTTTGCAGTGTTTTTCCATTTTTAATGGCAAGAGTGCAAAGTGAAAAACAAGGAAATCAGCCGATCTGAGGAAAAGCGGCATACCTCAAATATCACTTGTTCTGTTTGCCTTAGTCAAAAGTCATCTATGTTTAAATTGATGCACAATATCACTTGTTCTGTTTGCCTTAGTCAAAAGTCATCTATGTTTAAATTGATGCACATTCCAGAATAAACTCGTTGTGATCAATTCATTCTAATCCGCAGGGGAAAAGGCATGGCACACTTTTTGGCCTCAGTATTTCAAAGCGATCTGATAACTGTGAACCTTACAAAGTAGTCTTGCTCGGTGACAGGAATGAGTTTACACTACATAGAACGGACTCCGGAAGCATGATCTACAGTGCTTATCATGTTACGGGCAAATAGACATGACCACGTTTAGAGACATGTAAAACTGGTTGCCGTTAACTATTGACCACCACCAAAGTTCTGCATCTCAAACGAGAGAGCCTTTACTTCATGGCGAGCTAAGGTGCTTTCTGGAACACTGTCTCACCCTGTGAAGGATCCAGGAATAGTAATCTTCCGTGCTGATAGTGACTTCATCAACCGACTGACGATCTCAAACGATGGCCCCGTCATGTGCTTCTGTAACTTCCCCTTGTATTTCTCCTCAATCTCCTCTCTGAAGACAAAATACAATCAATTTAACCCATTAGTCTTTAAAAATTACAACCTATGACACATTAAACATGACCTCAATCAATTCTCATCTTTTGAAAGCTCAAGGCTGATTATTGATATATCTGTTCCAATGTTTTGCCTGAGATCACACCATCAAACAGAACATTATAGTCCACCGTGGGCGGTAAAGAGAGCCTTTTAATCCACAATCACACAGAATTTCATTAACTCAGAGGCTTTGCAGGCATTTATTTCAGCAGGGATTTTAAAAAAGGGCTTATTCTGCTGCTGAAGGAAACAAATGAGGAATGTTTCAAAATGTGCCATAGAAAGAACAATTCCATTTTGTAGCAGACATAAAGATCTATTCCATGAAGCCAAGCAGAATGGAGCATTCCATTTGCCATCTCATGAAACTAGCCTCTGCACTCCCAAACAAGCATTTTTGTCCAATATACCACATCTTTGTGTGTTTCTAAATGCTCTGTTACTCCCATTTGTGAATTGGATTATTAGTATAACTCTATTCAGTTTGTGAGCACATCCCTTCGATGAGAAGCCCATCTTGGAACATAAGCCTTCTTACTCAGTGAGGTTGAGGTCCAGTGACATATCATCTTCCTTGTTGAAGCTCAGGATGAGAAAATGATATCTGGTCTGGCCCTGTACGATGGGTGGATCCAGACTGATCTGCCAAAGGGAAAAATTGCAATATTCCAAATTTGGTAACTTAAACCTCATTATCTCTGACAACCACCAGCGAGTCCTTCAACAGTCCAGAGCAATTTCCATACTTGAATGACTGACGCTGACATGTTGCACTGATGGACTAGGAGATGAGTACAGCAACTACTCTGATTCAATACGCAAAACTCTGCCAACACTCCTTAATGACTTCCTGCTAAAAATATTGCCCTTTGGTGAGAAAGTTAAAGACTTCAAGGTTTATAAACTTACCTAAATGCTGAAAAAAATGTAAAAATTTGGCTGAGAGACATGCTACACTTGTCTGCATAACCTGATCTTATTTCAAAATTTTGATAAAAAATAGCCAAAACACTAAGGATTACGACCGAAGCAGCTTCATAAATCACAATTTATCACCAATGAACACTACAGTTAACTATGTAATAAAGTCACATAGGTGAACCCACCCATGAGAGAAAACACACTCTTCCATTATATGAAATATTTTGACATACGGAATTGAACAGGGTTGAATATTTATGTTCTATCCCACTGAGTCTTACCACAAAATACATCTGGCGATTGTCCTTATGAGGTAACAAAAACAGACGAAGTACGGTAGTGAATGGGATCTTGTAGTCAAATGTTTTGCCGTGAAGTTGGAGGAAGGTAGGGAATATCTTGATGTCGTAACGACCTCTGCAATGTGGCAAGAAAATGGAAACATTTAAGCCGTACACGACCACTACATATGCCACAATGCAGGGGCTCATGTCTTAATTATTTAGTGTTATCAAAGACTATACTAATCATGACAGATTAAGTGTTTAACTGGTACTCCGCAAGTATCTGGAACCTGCTACAAGATAACATGGTATGGCAGTGCAATCATAGCTTTGGGCTCAACGTAACACAACAGTCTGCACACTTTTACTCACCTCCAAAATCAAAGAATTTGTGAAAAAGATAATTTTGAATACCCAATCAACTTAGGCAGGTTTTGGTTTTTAGAATGTATACAAATAACGAGGCTTAACAAGGCAAATATACAAGGCACAGTTTCTAACCAGAAAAGGAGTCAGGGGCAGAAAATGACTCCCATTTGAAAGGACACCTGCAAATAACAAACTCCACTGTCAAACATTGGCTATGGAATCAAAAACACAGAAATTAACTGGACTAGAAATATCGAAATAAGAAATGGAAGTGCAGATAACAGACTTGTTGAATATTTACCTTGGAGTGAGACAAGGTATTTGCTCCAATGATGCGATGGATTCTCCCGTGGCTTGGATGATATCAGCTTTGGCCAGAATCTTTTCATGAAATGCCTGATACAAGATGGAAAGATTAAAGTCACAGGTGTGGAATTTCTGTTACAACACTGAACCAACTCATACCACTGCTTAAGACACAACTTTCCGCATACATGTAAGAAACGTTCGTCCCTTTCACAGCCATCAGCAGAAAGAATATTGAAGCAGAAGACAGAAGACAGTGGAGACAGAAATCTCCATGAAACAACATGTTAGGAATGTAATTAACCAAATACTTGAAATAAATATAATTTCAGTGACAGCGCTACAATTTTTGACAAATTGTATTCTCCTCCATCAAACTGGCTGCAGACTAGGCCAGGAAAAGAGATAAATCAAACCTTTGATTTTAGATTATTATCTTCACTTGGCCAGCAATTTCACAAGAGACCAACTCCTTACATCTTACGCATAAAAAGCAGAACAAAATACTTTAAGTGCTAAAGAGTAAATCTTGAGGGAAAATAACTTAACTCCAAGCCATTAACTTGGAATGTTATAAACTGCTTCAAACATTGATAAATAAAAATGAAGAAAATCAAGAAAATAAAACTAAAATGTAATAAATGAGGCAGATAGAACACAATGTCTTTCTGTTACCTCGGCAGCATTGACGTCTGATTCTGTTGGAGGAACATAAAACCTCATCTCCATCAAAGATACCTCAGTGTCATCATTTTGATGAAATTCAAGAATGACCTCGTTCTTGGCAGTCGTACTGTGAGACACATTGCCTAGAGGAATGTGGAAGGCTGGCTTTTTGTCAACCTCAAAGGCGAGCTCTGTGCCTGTACCAATTAACAAAAAGTTTGTTTTGTAACTTTCTGTTGTACACATCTTCAGAATATTCAAAACTTGCCTTCACACAAAAAAATGAGTTCGAACTAAGGAAATTCCCCAAGGACTTGTGTGAGACAGCGGGTTAAATTTGTCTTTTAGAAATGTTGGAAAAAAAACGCAACTTGAAATTTGTAACATATTAATTTGAACCTGAAAATAACCAAAAGTACAACTGCTCTAAATACACATAAACACATTTATAGATAAGTAAAACCTCAAGACAAAGTGCAATATGCCTGCACTGCATTCAACAAGAAATGCTACAAGACATTTATCAAGATGTATAATACATTATACTTGCCATTAAATTTAGCTGAGCCCCAGTTCCGTCCCTTAACAGCAAGTTCCACCTCGTCTAAACTGAGGTTGTAATTATTTCGGATAAATTCAGTCAGTTTCTCTTGGTCCTACAACAAAACAGACGGACATCCCATGTTATTCTTGTATAAACCCAGAACACCATTCGAAATTCAGAACGTACTATTTTAAAAATATGACGACTACAATTTGGACAGACTTCTCGCCAAATTCTGGCAAGAACGGCAATGACCTGTGGTGTTACAGATAAGTAAAGAATGCATCTACTGGAAAAATCATGAACAAAATGAGCTTTTTTAAAAAAAATTTAATTGCATAGTTCCTCATTTGCTTACCGATTCCTGAAAGCCATCATATTTGAAGATAGTGCCATTTTGGAGGCGGAGTTTCAGCTCGTATCCTTTAGCCACTCTCAGCCAGTTGGTTTCGGCAAGATCCTCTACTTGCACCTGCTCCACTTTACCAGTCTTGTTGCTTTTGAAGTACACACCTTGCCTGCTCAGTTTAAGACGGCCGCCATTCTGCATTGTAAAAAAAAAAGGAAATGCCCAAGATCATGTCAAACATGAACAGACTTTAACTTATCACACCTGACAGACTTGGTCCCTTATTTTTATCAATATTTACTGATGACAGAATATCACATCAAAACTATGCTTCAGTGATCTTTCATACATAACTACAAATTTCAAGCCCAACTCAACTGTCCTGTTACTGTATACATGTACATATATCCTGTGTTCATTATTGATAAAGTTCTCCATTATAAAAATATTGTTTACTTTACACTTCCTCTGTGACTTAACTACAGATCTTTGTCCAACTCTGGCATGTCTGGAAGTGGAACCGATGAGGAATAACATTCCATGTGGTTCAAATACATTGATGAAAAGAAAACTTGTGCCCGCCCCAAATTGTGACTGACTGATTACACCTATTTTTAATAACAAAAAAACCATAACTTCACTATACTTGCAGCTATTGAGCCAAATTTTATACCATTCAATTTCTTTTGAAATTACATTTCCAATGGTACTAAACTTGTGGGGGTCAAATAAAAAAAAACGAAAAGTGCCGGACTCCCCATCTACTGAAAACCATAGGCCTAGGTCAGGGATTCATGCATGATAAGCTGATTGGTGATGTCCTGAACTCTTCCCAGGTTAAATCATTCATCATTACAATACGGGACCATTGTTTTGTTGGATGTCACGTTCTGACGTTGTGGGAAATTTGAAAGCGAACGTGTTTCATTCACTGCTTGCATTGCCGAGCATGCCTAGGATAGGAGTAAAATTAAAAGATAAAATGTACACGACCATGACCAACAAGAAACACAAAAAACAACTTGAAATGATCATCTCACCATAGCACCTCTCACTTCCTGCCAAATATCCGTAAATTCTAGTGCGTCTGTCATTTTGCAAGCAACATTCACTCAGCAATTTTTCCGAGCACGAAACCGAAACCCAACACAAATTGCAAGATGTAAGGTCGACATCGAATGGCGCGAATAAACACAGCGCCCTCTTTAGTTCACGTATTGCGCGCGAAAATTTATACTTTGAGAAGTACGCCCTCTTTTGGCAACAAGAAGTAAAACGAGTGCTCCCGTTTGAGTATTTAAGCCACTTGCGAGTTAAATTTGAATTAAATCTGGTACACTCTGGTTCCGGTTGTTATCTGATGGCACAGGAACGTAACACTTTGGATTCCCCAGACTGAAGACATTGTTGCTATACCTTGTGATTCGGGGCAAGCTTTTGCATAGCGACCACAATCTCTGGAATGGACTGGTTCCTTTGTGCTGTTGCAAGGCGTCTCTTATGTAACTAAGCAAAAGCTTGCCCCAAATCACAAGGTAAAGCAAAAGTGGTTTTAGTATGGAGAATTCAAGTTGTGTTCACATGAATTTAAAGAACTCAGTGTACCAGATTTTATTCAAATTTAACTCGCAAATGGCTTATTTAAAAGAACATGCTATTTTAGCATTAACTTGAGACAAAGTAACCACTAACTAGAAGTTTGACGACAATCGTGACAAATTGGACATAAACCCATCATTATGACACATGAATCCTTTTAAGATTTCAAACTTGTTTATTAACAGTAAACAGCAGTGGAATGGATCAGGAGCTGGGGGCATATTTGTGAATGGCCAAGAAATCAAAAACTCTAATCACAGGACTTATTTGTGAAGATATTGGGACTTCAATTTTGCAAGGATGTGAAAATAATGACAACTCCTCTGCCAAAATTCAATGACCTTCTATTTAAATAAGATAACTTTAAGATTGGATAGAAAGTATTGAACAAACATATAACCCAGTCTTGGCCATTCCTTAATGCTAATCCACTTAATTGACGGTGTACTTACAGCCTTTCAAAGAGAATACCACCTTTTTTTTTCTCTCAACTCTACCTCTGAAACTCTACCTACAATACAGCACAAAAAGTAAATAAATCATATCTGAAAATAATATCATGTATTTGTTTCATCTTCTGGAACAGTCCTATCTGTTGTGAAGGAGGGGTTTTCTGTTTGTTTTTTCTCATTTTCCATGGCCTGTTGAAGGAGTAACGCTAAACCTTTGGTCACTTGCTTGCTGTCTGGTTTTTCTTCGTCCTGCAAGAAAGTCAAAATTAACCAAAATAAGACACTTTTTCTGCACTTCAACAAAGCATTTCATACACAACTTAAACTTTACTTGATGTAATGCAGAGATTACACTTGATGTAATGCTGTTTTACTTTAAAGAGTGAAATGAGCTTTTTTAATTGGATGTATCACTCAGTTTGACATGCTGGTGAACGGGTGTATTATATGGGTCAAAAATGTTCAGGATTTGGCACTCTTTTTGAGAGACTGTGTCACAAATGCAAACCTGGCCTTTTTCTGCCTGTTTTTAACACTGAATTCTGGGCAAAATAATCTAATATTCAAATTATTGCCACAGTTGCTTATTGGCTGAGGCTTGGTAAATGTCCGAGTCAGACAAGGAAGACATTTTAAATGTCAGCATGCAATCAGTGTCAACTTTTAGGGAAGACTTTGGGAATAAAACTTGGCTCTAGGATAAGACCAACCCACAGCATGCCACAGCACTCACTTTCTTTGTCTTCTGCGGTCTCTTCTCGCTCTGCTTCCTGAGAACGAGACCCTCTTGTGCCAAAGCTGCTACTGCAGCTTCAAATAACTCCTCTGGCTGTCTGGTGCCTTCTTTCTTCAATTCCTGATATTTGCTTATAAACCTGGGGTGCAAGACAACCAAAAGCAACATTCCCATTTCAACCATTTTTTTTCCAAAGGATCTATCAAGTTCAGCAGAATGTTGGAAAACATTCTAACATCTTCTGAAATTTTTCAAACAAATCTAAGAAAAATCATCCATATTAAAGTTAGTCACAGGAGATTGACAAAATTTGTTGTCTCTGGAGGAGACCACGCTTAGCTCGGACCTGTCTCAGGGATACGCTCTGAAGATGCTGACAGGTAAGCAACAATAATGCAATCATTAACAGGCATGAAACTTGGACTTTGACAAGAAAGAAAGAAATTCCAATTCCAATTTTTCAATTTTCAATAGCATGAGCGTGAAGTGAAAAACAATGAAATTGGATGATCCGAAGAAAAGTTGCATGCCGGTATTAAATACACCTGCTCCATTCATTCCCTAAAAAAGTAATGTAAGCAGAAAAACTAACTTTGCAATCTTTGGTTTAAAAAAGTGATAAGGTGAAGCCATGGTGTCCTTTAGGAGACACTGTACCTGTAGCAAGGAGACATCTTGACTTGCTCATGCTGGGTCAAATCAATGGCTGTCTGCTTGCCATAGACTTTGTAAAACTGCCTGTAATTAAGACCACATCGACAAATACCCAAAAATGTCAGATGGCTCAGCAAATTAGTTCTTAAAATGAAGGCAATACATAATACTATATTTAATATATATACACTAGGGATGAGGGTGTTTTCTTATGCAGCGCCATAACTTCCTCCAGATATCCAGACAGCTCAATCTCTGAACTTTTTTAAAACTAAACTAAAGACGCATCGTTTTAAGGCTGCTTTCCTTCAATGAATTAGCTTTGGATATTGTGAATCAATGTGTATATGATGTTGTTTAGTATTTTACTGTGTATTTGGCACTTACAACTTTTATCATCTTTGTATTAATGTGCTGCACACTTGAACACAGTATGTGGAATCTGCGCATCATAAATTTATCTTTATTATTATTATCTATTCCACAATGAATCCCTCCAAATCTATTTGAAGATTAGATTTTGCTCAATGTTTGCAGATTATGTCGTACTGCAGTAACTCTTTGATTATTGGTTCAGTGAATAGATATCTGAGGGGATGCGGACTGGATAGAATCAACTCCAAGTCAGTGCAGTGGTTTTGGTAAGGAAATGGTAGATGTCAGCATCAATATATGAAATTCTGTGGAGAGAATTACTTTTTATGGCTTTGTAAAATTCATGTTTAAGGCAGACTGAGGGTGGTTGAAAACCTTTCAAATGTACCTGTCTTGATTTTTAACAAACAAGAAAGAAACGTACGCTCGTACAGCATCCTCTTCATACAAAATTTCTGGCAGAAAGTCCTTCTTGTAGTCGCGATGGTGAGTTGGTGCATCTCTAGGTGGGAATGCAGCCATGATGTCATACCAGATTGGTTTGTCTGCCTCCTTCATTACACCTGCCCGCATTAGGTCACGCACCCTTGTTCACAACAAAAGTAATGTGCGTGACGGTATAGTCACCAGGTCCTTTATTTCGCCACTTACTGTGAAAACCAATGAGACTTGACAATAGGTGGTGAAATTAGGGACCTGGCGACTACACGGTCATGCACGTTAGATGCCACCGAGGAAGTTCAACAGTATTTTGCTTAATTCTTTGGCAAGAGATGCACAGGTTGCATAAGGTTGAACATCGGTGAAATTTTTTCTTTACTTTTCGCAAGTACATACACAATGCTATACGTCTACACCCTATGTTTAAGTGCCTTATTCATCTTGTGCAATGTAATCATATTTCAATGTAAGTTTCTGCTCACACCATGTGGGTAAGAGCAATAATTATTATGAGAAGCCGAACAGCACCCCCGTTCCTCAGGATTGTATTAAGTTAACCCTTAGCCTGAAGCAAACTTGCACAAATCAGACCCTTGTTCTCTGGTCTGCATCTCATTCAAGCTGCATGTTTTCATTAAAACAATTACATGTACACTATCTAAACGCTTTCACCTTGTAAAAATGGTGCCAAGCTTCTCTAAACGACTCAAACTCGTCATTTTATGACAGGAACGCAACTCCCAATACGACAAATGCAATAACTTGTTGACGTCTTGTTTCTTTTTTAAGTAATCTATATCTCTGAGGAATGATTTCTGCTTTTCATTGGAACCAGCCTAGTTAGCGCCCTCTGTTGGGTGGTATACTTACTAGAACTGGAGAATGCTACGAATGTTGATGATGATGAAATTGACACAATTTTCCCGGATCCCAAACAGGACGTTCGACGGTCGGATTTCCAGGAATTTTCAGCACCGTTTTGAGGTTCCGTCTCGCAGAATCAGTAATCATGTAAGTTTCACTCAGAGCATTTTTTCTGCGTAGGCTGCCAAATGCGTGAGTTAAGATCACGAATAATAGATCACTTTATGTCAGGATCGTCTTTTAACATTTAGCGTTAGTTTTATAAACCTAGCCTCAGGCCCTAATCCAAACTAAACCAAAGATTGTTTTGGGAAAATTTTGGCAGTTTTATGCAGTAACTGAATGCGGCGCGAAGTGTTCTCTTGGTTGAGTTACAAAACTGTGTCATGTTTGGCCTTGTTACTGGTTTGATAGATAGGCCCTTGGCCTGTATTTTATGATCGACATCACATGGATAATGTTTGTCGATGAACACGATAAATTCATCTATGCATGCATGATCGGATGGACTGAAATTAGCATGAGTTGTAACTAGGGACATTTTGTTTATTCCTTTTCAATTTTTTTATTACATTACCCCCTGTACACGTGTCGTATTCCATCTTGTTCTAATACTAGTTTTTAACAGATTTACACTATTCAGCGCAATCTTGACTCCAGCGTAATCTATTTTACTCCCCTTTGAATGGATTTCAGTCAAAGGCAAATCAACTCAGAATGGAGTACAATAAATTTGTGTAAGATTTACTTTGTTTCAGTTGTATTTACCATGTTTACAGTCACAAACATTTCCTAACAATTATTGTGAACAAGTATTGTTCTGCGCGCAACAGTTCAATGGTAAGGGAAGCAGAACACGTCTTAGTAAAATTCATGTCAAATTATGTATATTAATTAGTAGAGTCCCCTAATATGGTGCACTTGGATGTTCACTTGACTTTCCTCACACAATGTAGCCAAACCTCTTTCTTGAGAAACTTGGAACTCATTTGGTTAAAAACTTACAAAACTTGTGCTATTACCTTAACGGTGGTGTTGAGCCTTTTTGAATTATTTCAGTGTCATGAAATTTTGTTTGAAATCAAATGTGTCGGCATCAGGAAATTGGGCTCAAATTCAGCGGAGTGTTCCTTGACAGTTGACTAGGCGCACATTAAAAAATCTCCATAAAATCCCACATACATGTAAACATATATAAAATCCTTTGAAGTTGATGAATTCTTGTAAAGCATCAATACTTCAATGTAAATATCCATCCACATGTTTGTCAGAAAATTCTTTGCCTATTTTGGGGTACATTTTAAAAGAGTTCATTTTGCACGTCGCAAAAAAATCGGGCGAAAATTAAATTTCATCTGAACTTTGTAGCAGGTACGTAAAATAAAGATTTACAAATCGGAATATTAAGAGTTTGATGAAGTTGCACTATTTAAAAATTGAGCTAAAAATATTGCTCCATTACGACACAAGAGACAAAAAATGAAAGTGCACCATGTCAGGGGTCGTGCCACATTAGGGTCCATCGACAATAGATTGGAGGTACAGTTGATAGACCCATTTTATTAGGCAATCATGGTATCAGGCAATCTGTTATTTGCCATAAGAATTTATTTTACAAGGTATTTCAGTGCTTATTTTCATGTTATGAGCAAAACTGGGAGAGAGCTGCAATGTTGTTTTTGATTTGTGGGCAAAACTCTGCTCAAACTGTTAATACTTTGCTGTCCTTTGTTACTCTTTTTGTCAATTATTTATTGTTGTGGTAGTACATGTACATTGTATGCAGTGAGCCGATCAAACAACTCATTGTCAGAAATGTTTGGTAGCCAATTTGAACATAAAAGCATCTTTCCTTGGATAATGTCACGGAAGAGTGCCCTTTGTTGTCTACTAAAGCAAAGACGGTTTTAAATGTATAAAATGCACTTTCAGCATGCTCTTTGCCCTGAAAGGATGCTGAACAGATTTTATACATTGAAAAAGAGAATAAATTTACATTTAAGGTGCACAAAGAAGTGTGTGGATAAAGAAAACATCCCTTGGACCCTTTAAACATTTCTAGCATGCAATTAGACAAAACTGGCACAGTCAATCAATCATAGAAGAACAGGTTTTTCTGCTTGTTCAGAGGAAGTGATCAATTTTGGTCTCAACTACGTAAATGCTGCCATCATTATGAGTGTACATGTACTAGAAGTACTTTGTCAGTTAGCTGTGGAATGATTTGGCGATGCTATCCCTTTAAAAAAACTTACAGAGAAATTCTCAGAAAAGATTCAGACAGCATGAACTGGTTTACATGTACATAGAATCTGCTCGATTCAGTTGAGAGACCAGTACAGATTTGCTTTTGGCAATCAACTCATATTAACTTTAATATCAAATATTTGTCCTTTATGATAAATCATGTCATTTTGCAGCATAGTTTCTCTCTCATGCTAATCTGCATATCGCTTTCAACATAAATACAATGTAAAAATATTCATGTTTTCATTGTGCTGCGTAACTTTTGCCTGGAAGACAAACTCAGCTTATTTATTTATTTTGCAGCTTAAGTAAAGATGTGGAAGTAAAATGTACAGATTAAGGTAATTTTGACAGATTCAATTAGTCTGGAAACTGGAAACAGCTTTTGGCTAATACCTTGAAGAAATTGGTTGGCAATGTTTATAGCAAATAATTTTAGTGATTTCTAATGGAGAAAACATGTAACAGTTGTCATGAATATTTTGAAAGTTACCTCCATTTGCAGTCTGTGATCATATACATTAAGATATTGTGCTTTGAAAGTCAATACTCGAGTAACTTCGCAAAATGTTCAACTTAGAAGCCACATTATCCGTGCATGTTGAAACCGTCGATCTGCCCAGGGCAAAGGAAAAAGTAATCCTTTGAATTGCCAATTTGCTTCACAGTATAGAAACTAAATTTGCCACATGAAATGAAATCAACAAATCATCCGAATTCAGACCCACTCTTCTCCCCGTCTGTTTATTTCAAAGACAATGACAAGCATGATGATTTTGCCAGAGTTATGCAATGTACACGTCATACTACATGTGCTGATGTAGCATCGTCATAAAGTTGAAGTTCCCTTGACAGGGTTATTTATAAACATGAGTAATGAGTTTGTCCCAACTCTCTCTACATTTCGTCCTCTTGTAGAGACTTCTTACTCCCACTATGGCATAGATTATTTTTGACCTCATTGTGACCTTCGTGATGACATCATAGCACGGGGCCATTGACTGAAAAGTAACCTGGACAAAGACAACAATTGCTATTGTCATGGGTGTGTTGAGTCCGTCTGTGACGTACTGTATGCTCACTACATGTACATGTACATGGATGCTTCAAAGGGGCACGTTCTGTTTGGTACATGCACATACCTGTCATGGTGTACCAGTCACGGCCAATATTTACTGTGTTCCTTCCTCCATGGTCTCTACCACGGGTTGTATTTTGGATCATGAAAGACAGAGTTGAATATACATGCTCGTTGTTCATGTGAATGGTCTCAGAATAAGTAAGCAATCCTTAAGTCTTGTTCAATTTTGTGAAAGAATAATTTGTGACATTTTAATTTTCAGTCTGTTTAGTTCACAGTCTGTGCTCACTAACTTTAGTTGTTTGGGTTTAGTTCATTTATTTATTTTTTTCCATTGGATTAATGTTAATTTTTTTCAATGAATCTCCGAAACAATTTATATACCTTTTGTAGTCATTGATCATTCATCTCTTTTTGTTCATTCCATTTGGAGAAGTAAACAAATGACATCCCAATAACTTTGAGTAACAGGTAAGTGAGTTGGTTACAGCCATCAAAATACAGAATTCTCAGGCTCAGCGCCATGGTTTAATTAGCCTCCCTACCAACCCTTGTAAGAAGAGCCATGCCAGCTGTTCAGTCCTACAGGAAACAGCTCTGCCAAAGGAAATATTTTTATGAGGAAGTTGTGTAAAATAATAAATTTGGTGTGTTGAAACTCAGTGAGAACATGCTGTACCTGTATACATGTATGTATGCCACAGCATGGCAAGAAAGTATCGATTCAGAATTTAAAGAAGCCAGAAATTTCAACCAAAGGATGATTTTGGAGGGTGTTCAAACCATTTTCTGTTTTTCTTTTTTTTTTAAGTTTTGGACATTGTTACAGAATATTTACTTTAACTCTGCAAATTATGTAGTCCTCCAAGTACTTTTATGGAAAATATTTACAAGACCCAGTACATGTGTAGATTGTGAAAACATGATCTCCTGAGTTTGGTTTCTTTTTTATCATTAACATAGTAACTTTAAAAAAAGACCCCAGACTGTGACTATAGAAGTTTTCTTAACACGTAAGGCCCTGCTTTATTGAAAGAAAATGTAAGTGTTATCTTTAAAATGTTTGGGAAGCAATTTCTAACCATGCAAACAAAGCACCATGGGGAAGTTATCTGCCTTAGTTGTGTATGTTGCATTGTCTTGCTTTCTATTGCCTCATTGGGGTTGTTTAATTTTACTTTGTTCATGTACAATGTAGGTGGTAATACCTGAGGGTGTGACCCTTCCATAGTCTCATTCCAGGTCACCTTCAGAGTTCATAATTCATTCCACAGTGCTACGTGTACATGTATATTTATAAATTGGAACATGGCTTTGTACTCCCTGTATTTAGGTCAGAGGCAACAGATTAGTGATAACCGATAAGGGATTAGCTTCAGTAATTTGCTGTCTACAGCCAGGGAGCATCTCATAAATTCAGAAATTTCCTTTGCTATTCTACTCAGTTCATCCACATGGTCCCTGTTTGACAGGGGTAGCACAGGCCAATCCAGTCACAAGATCACATTGATGGTACTCTGTCATGTACATGTACAGTCAGCGTATGGACATCCATTGCCTTTCCACAAATAGGCTGTTATGGGCCCGCTTTATATCATGTGGATCCGGATCACAATCAGTAATCTGACGTTGGTTCACTGACACCAGAACCCATGGAATGGATAGTGCCAACCAGCTTTGGGATCATCAATTAAGATCCAGATCCGTGTGAAACAAACAGGTCCTATGACTCGCCAAAATACACAGTGTGTCTTCTAGCTGAAGACTGCATTTAACGTGTACGTGTAGATCCATGGTCTAATGTGATACTGCTACGGCCATGACTTTTTATCCAGCCATTTGAACAAGTCACCATCGAGTCAATTATAGTTCTTTCTGAAGTAACTACTATCCCCTCCCACTATATCAGGTTGCTGTAGATACATGTTAACTGTAAGTACCTACTTGCAAAGCATGCCTCTGCAGAAATAACTCTCATTCTTACATTCTTCCATGTAAAATGAGCAACTACATTGAAGCTGGATGGAGGGTAGAAAAGGGAGGCCAGGAAAGATACTTCATCCTCCAAACCCTTGGAAAAAAATCCTCGCGATGCCTGTAGGTTGGGAGAAAATACAAAGAGAAATCCTCTGTTTGGATATCAACCTCACTATTTGCTGCATTGCTATCAAATATGTTAGTTCCTTAACTTTAAAACAAACCCATCGTTGTGCATTCCATTAATTTTATTGATTTTTTTTTCAGATTGAGAGCTGGAATGAACGCAGCACCTTGATTTATTGGAACTTCAGTCAACAAGCCTAGTGCAAAAACATGGACTTGTACTGCATAAGATTCTTACCAAGCACATAATGAGTGAAGTGTGAAATCTTGAAAACAAGATTGCTATCATTCTCTGCAGTGGTAGTCTCCTTAAGTGGTTTTTACTTTCACAAGTTCAGTATTTTCTCATATGACAAGTTGAATTACATTTTGTAAGGGCTTGTCAGAAAGATTTCATCGCACCGAGAACTTTAAAGCATATCACTGAACAGCATTTTGTCGAGAGAGAATAAGCAAATAGACTGTGTCGCCATGGCAACAGCACCTGACATGCAGCATCCACCTTCTGGGAAGAGTAAGAAGAGCAAGAAGAAACGCAGTCACAGTGTGCCAACAGATCAAATGATGGCCAACAATGCAGGAATGGGCGGGGCAGTGGGTGGGACGCCGCCCCCGGCTCCGCCCACTAGGCAGTTGGAGTTTAATCAAGCCATGGCAGACTTCAAGGTGTGTGCACTATTGTCACTTGCAAGGCACAAGTCTCTGCTAAACTCTGTTAATGACATTTTTGCAGTTGACTGTCAATACTTTTCTTTACCAATGTCAAATCCAAAGTGATGCTTATGCACATCAGTCTGATTCAACACAAACTGAACTTACATGTTACTTACCGGTACTTTTAACAATTGTAAAAGGAAAAGAAAAACTTTGCTCATGGTTTCAAAGAGATTTCTTACCACCAGCCAAGCTCAAGTTCAGTGAAACCAATGAACCTTAAAGTTTATAAGTTGGATGGGGATTATGCTGTGAATTGTTTGAATTTAAATTACAGATTTTGCCCTTACACGGATGTATATTCATAGACACTATATACTCAGTGCTTATGAAAAAATGCACAAGACTACTAAGGTGGGACTCGAACCCATGACCTCCTGGTTACTAGTGTGGAAGGTCATGGGTTTGAGTTCGATGTAAGGGCAAAACCTATAAGTAAATAATTAATTTCTCTCTGCCGCAAAGTACATAGTGAAATAATTGGTTTGGATCATACAGACATGATAATCCTTCAAAATCCAACAGATATGAAATGATTTAGGCTCACAATGTGCCACTAGATATTGTAAAAATCCGACGGGTTCTCAGCAAGAACTCTTGAGGAGGTAGAGGGTCTATTAATCATTGGTGTCATTGGTGTCACTCTTTACTGCAGGTAATGTTCCCCTCTATGGACAGGGCCGTTATAGAAACAGTACTACGGGCAAACAATGGTGCAGTGGATGCAACAATAGACCAGCTCTTGACCCTGACTGCCGACATGCCAGAGGTACCCCAGAGACCGCCAGAGCCACAACTCCCAGTAAGTATATACATGTGGACGTAGAACTCCTCGAAAGCTTTCCAAGTTGACGTCTTTTCCTAGGGGAGCATGGGCAAGCTGAAATGTGCTCAGGGCTATTGGATCTGTGCCTGAACTAACGAGGGCAGGGTTTATGAGAGACGCACTGCACCGTCATTTGTACATGCCATTTATCTGTGTTTGAATGGAAGATTTTTCCTTTGAATGCCTATTTGTCAGCGGTCTTTTGTTACACAGAAATACAGTGATACAATGAACAACAGCTTTAGCAATCCACCAGTTGGGATGATTCCCATCACACCAGTGTCCGGAGTGAACCCGATGATGAGTACCATGCATGGGGACCAGCCACCACCGTACTCACCACCGTCACCAAACAGCCCCTTCTCACAGGTGTGTCAAATGTGCCATTCTCACTCTAGTAAATGTTATTCAGGCATGCAACTATTCCTCAGATCAGCTGATTTCTGGTTTTCACGTCACACTCGTTGCCACTGAAAACTGAAAAACACTGTATAAAGTCGTGTGAAGATTCGAATTTTTTTTTTTCAATAAAGTCCAAGTTGCATGCCTGGTTGTTGCATTTTGGTTGGTGAGTCTCCGATTGAGCGATAGTAACGTAGTTATTGGACACAACATGGCTACGTCATTGTGGCTGCAAAGATCCTAATGTCTGAAGTGGTTACCTGGTTTAAATTGAGACATTCATTAAGCATGTGCTGTATGTATAGCTTGGCATTTTGGACCCAAGATGGTTGCTTAAACAGTTTTCACTAATCCAAATCTGGGCTAAACATGGACAATGCATAACTCTCCGGTTCTGAAATCTTTCATTCCAGGATATCCGTAACAGACAGCTCCCACCGACTCCACAACAGAGGGGGCCTGCACCCACTCCACCCCAGTCTACCTCTTCCCCCATGCCCTTGGCCTCACAACCGCCCCCGACTACAGTCACCCCAAGACAGGCCGAACCTCGTGAGCCTACCAGGGTGCCTCCTACCCTACCTACCTACACCGCCCCCCGACGTGTTCACCCAAGATGGAACCCACCACTGCTAGGAGAGCTTCCGTCTGATTTCCTGAGGGTGGTTAGTACAAGCAATCGACAGAGATCCAGGAGCCAGGTTAGTGCACACTCACAAATTTATTTAAAGAGTTCCTCGCCTATCCGATTCATAAGTGTGACGTCACTTCAGTGTAAACCACGCCCACTGCACATGCACTGTACATAGAGTTATATGCATTGATCACCGTTTACATGGAACTGGAAGTTAACGTGCGACTTCAGCAATCGTCCAATGGGAGCCTTCAAATCCTGGTGCATCTGCGTGTATGACAAAGTCACTTACGAACTGGATATTTTTGACTAAAAAGACTAATTCCATGAGTAGCATGAGAAGTCATAACTGCTGTAATGTCAAGCTCAAAGATGGTATGCACGTTAAATACCTCTTTGACCAATCGAGCGCTGTGACTTGCCGAGTTGACTAACATGTGCGTGAGTGTTGTGTCACTTCAATTATCATGTCTCATGAAATCAGTCTGTGCTAAAGGACTAGGGTCAAGTCTAAAGCAATACCTATCTTGAATAGTCGAGGGTGCCACATGGCCAGCGTACAAGAGTCAGTGTGCAGGACAAACCGTGCGCATGAGCTTTTTGGCATCCATGTTTAAGAATCTTGTATCAGTTGACTTGATAAATCTGCCCCTCCCTATACCTCTCTCCTGATTTCTACAGCCGATGATATCCATGAACCTGCAGGAGCGTATGGCTAGGAACGCCCAGCAACAAAGTAGCGCAGATGCCAACGATGTGGAGATGCAACAAATGCTAGAAGACGAGAGATTTGCGCTGACATTGCAAAATGAGGAATTCCTACGAGAGTTACAACACAACCCAGAATTCATTGCAGCACTGGACAGAGGTAGGCCTTTACTACTTTGGTATTTTCCTTCAAATCAAATTCAAACACTGTGTCTCAGAGGCCAGAGAGAATGATTCTTCCAGGATTGAAACGTCAGACCGTCTAAACTTTTTATATTTTTATGGTTCAGGTCACAATAGATAACAAGCAAGTTTGCAGCTCTTGTCGTATTGTACATTTCTCCTTTGAAGCAAGTGTTGACTTTCAGAATACTTTCAAAATGCTTTAGTCAAGCAAAATATTTTCAAAGATCAATTTGATTTTTTCGGCTTCTAAACAAATGCTCTAATGTTACAATTCACAGACTTTGGACACCTCCTCCAAACTTTCAACATTTTACAAACATGAACATCATTCCATTCTTGATGTCTGTCATAAAAATGATGCCAACTGTACTTGGTTTAGATTACACCCAGGCCCTAGCTGCATCCACCACCCCAGGGGCAGTGCAAGCCCCCACTCCACAACCAAGTGTCCAAAGTACCCCTGTCCCACCCCAGCAGAGTGCGACAGGCCCCCTACCCCCTGGGGGAGGAGCTTCAGCAGCTGGGGGAGGAACATCAGCTGATGATGTGGAATTCAGGAACAAGTTGGCACACATGGGCAAAAGTAAGCAATTTGTTTGTTCTTATGTTACAAGCCATTTCCTTTGGTGATAATAACAAATTAATAAGTACGATTTTCTGAAAGTGCTACTCGGTGCACAAAAAGGATTCTTTACGAAGTAGATTTTGCATAAGAGGTTTCATCAGTCTTGTTCAATACTTGTGATGTCATGAGTAAAGATTGGAACAGAGACTTTCAGCAATTGTGTGCTGATCAGTTTTTAAGTATCAAGTTAGGAGATATTCTTGGCTCTAAACAAGGGGGGAGGAGATTAACCCCAAATTCTGACATGTAACAAATAGGCTGATCGTTATATATGTTCTTTGTTCTTTCTTTTCAGCAACAAGGTTCAAGTTTGCCCAGATGGCTAAGAAGTTTAACTATCGGAAGAGACGATCCACATCCAGACCACAGTATCCTTTGACCTATGCTCCTGTTTGAATCTCCACATGTTAAACCCTTGATTTCCATGCAAGATCACACTTGGCAGAATATGAGAAAGTAGGAAGACAAGTTTGTTGGTTTGGGAAATCAAACTTTGTTCTTCGCTGGGTTCATAGTTTGAACACTTTATGCTCGGTGCTTTCTTAGAACTCATGGCAGGGTCAAACTCAATCCATGGCGTACTAACTAGGGTAGACCCCCTATCAATGAACCACTAAGCATTCATTTGGGTGGAAAATTTGTACTTCAAATAACGGTTGAATGATGTGCATGAGTACCTAGGACCTGTGTAAAATTCTTCTGCTGGTCTCTGCTTCAAGTTTTATTCTGGAAGTTCAGGAGTGGATATTTCCTGAGCTTTGCATCACAGAATTGAGGGCGCCCCAGCATCGTCCATGATGAACCTACTGGACGACTATGATGAGAGTGGGGATAGTGCATTACTTGGCACCAGGCCAACAGTGGAAGAAAACGTCTACAGCGACACTCAGGTAAAAGACCTCGAAGTGATGACAGTGAAAAGAATTGTTCCCAATCGACTTTGTGTTCATCACAGCCTCGGTAAAGCGATAACAATGTGAACATTTCTTTTATGAATCATATGTAGTTCACATCTTGTTAATGTAAACTTTTGTGCCCGTGTCCATGAGGAATAAAAGCAGTCTGACATTTTTTGTTGTGCATGGGCATATCATGGTATTCTACTTTTTATTTGAGGATAAACAGGAAAGGTACATGTAAATGCATGAGTCCGATGAGCTTTGTCAAAAGGCAAGCGTGGTTCCAAAAGTGGCCATTCTGTTTACATTTCACCACAAGCAGAAGGCCATTCACCCTTTAATTGAAAAAAACAAAAAGCTTGAACTGAATGTATCTACCTCAGCCTGCAGCATTTGATCAGGTTGTTCAATGTGTTAACTCAAGCTTGATGGCATAGTATGATTGCACGTTGCTGCCTTTTTCCCTTTCTTTCTGTTTATTTTTGCTTCTTTTTCCTGTCCATTGCTCTGGCAACTTTTGCATGAGCCCTTATTGTAATGTATCCATTAATTGTTACTTGTCTGCTGTCATACACAGCCACAGTTTTGTGTCAGTGTTATTAATCTGTACATTCTGTTTTGTATGTCGCAAAGAGGTTAATCAACAGTTATAATATTTTGTCTACATTTTGTTTGCTTTTTGTGCCAAATTGCCAGCTACTCTAGTTCAATGGTTCATGTTAGTTCAGTGGTTCGTGTTTCATGCAAATGCACCAGCGTAACAAACTTTGTAGCTCCACATCCAAAAAATATATATGTTCCATTTTCAATGAAATCAAAATGATATGCACTTGTTTTTACTTGAAGTATGAGCCAGGCACCAAGGACATTACTTTTTATTGTTATGCACATCATTCCATGCCAAGACCCAGAAAGGGAGGTCACATCAAAACGGAAGATTAAGAGAGTCGAGTGTGGAATTTGGGCCAATTATCAAAGCAGGAAGCAGTAACATGAGTCAAAGTTTCCATAATTCTCTTCAAAAACTTACCAGATATGCAATTCTCCTCAGATGCCGAACTGAAATACTTGTCTTCTGTACCCCAACCCTATCCCCTGGATCAATTTCCCCTCTCCCCCTCACCTGCACCCATACCATTCTTCCATTTCACTCGCCCGCCTCCACATCCTCTACTTCAGAAGCATAAGGGCCAAAAGAAGAGCCATCGAGAACTGGAGGAACCGATAATCTTCTATCAGGAGGACAACGAATTTGCTCTGCACTCGGAGACTTAATGTCCGATTGCCCAAGCAAGCTTGCATGTGTTCATGAGCTCGCATGTTGTGTATGTATATGCATGCTGTAGTCCATCTGCATTTCGTGGTTGTGAACATTCAGAATAAAATAAAGTGTGGTAAATTACATATAATCCCTTAACAAATCCAATTGATGCATCTGCCTCTCAAAGGAAAAGAAAAGAAAGCTGATATACATGTAAATCATCAGAAACACGTAGGACAGTGATGCTTCAATGAAAAAAAATAGGAGAAAATACCAGTATTGAAGTATGGCATTGGACTTAAGAAAGACCAAGTTTTGTAACTTTAAATGGTGAGAAGTTTTCAGTTTTGTTGAGTACTTTGATGAAATCCAGCATTTCTCGATTCACTTGAAACTCCAAAATCCTTAACAGAGCAGAGACATTGACAAATTGAAAGAATATCAACATAGGGCTGGGTAGCTCAGTTGGTAGAGCATTGGTAGGGTGTACCAGAGGCCGCAGGTTCAAATCCTGCTCCAGTCAATTTCTTTTTTCATCCTCATAATCATTCATAAGCACCTGATCAGTTTCCCTATATGATTTGTTTCATCATTAACGGTCAACAGAAGTTGAATATTCCTTCCAAAATGTGGTTCATTGCTTGATGTAATTAGCCACAGCTAGCATTTAGAAACCAAAGGCCATTAGTCGGAGAACATTTAGTATCCTTTAACTCACTTTTATTAATTTTTTGAGGGGTTGTTTTTTTTTCAGTTTGACAGATCTGATGAATTTGTCATTTTGTATGTGGGCATGTGTGTAGTTGAAATCGTAGCTCAGTTGCTTTTTGCTTGTTCTATTTGCTATCAACCAACTTGCATTTGAAAAATGCGACTTTCTTGTTGACCACTACCTTCATCTCCTCATAACCAGTGTTGTAGTCCAGACCAACACAAGACCAACACAAGACCAACACAAGACCAACACAAGACCAACACAAGACCAACACAAGACCAAAACTAGACCAACACAAGACCAACACAAGACCAACACAAGACTAACACAAGACCAACACAAGACCTCTAGTCTGAATTCAAGTCAAAGTCAAGTCAAAAGCTATTCAAATGAACTGCAACAAAAGCACTCCTGTTACTTGTGACTGGTCTTGTGCATGGTCTTGTGCATGGTCTTGTGTCTGGTCTTGTGTCTGGTCTTGTGTTTGGTCTTGTGTCTGGTCTTGTGATGGTCTCAACTACAACACTGCTCAGAACCACCCATTGATCATATCACAATGTACATCAATGGAGTCGCATATGGTCCTTGCAATCAGCAATATCTTGTTAAATGCCAGTCCAACTTCTATATTGACACTTCTTCTTCACAGCCACAGCGGATATGAAGTTTTCAGAATCTCACCAGCTCACCAGAGGGAGCAACACAAGAGGGTCATCATGTGACCAGTCTGGCAGGGTTCTGTCATTGATAGCGCGCCATTTCTACATGGTCTGATTCCTCAACTCCTAACCTAGCCTCTTTCCAAGCCACGGCATTGTTTGCAGTTTCTGTAATATATTTTAAGTCTTCTGTGTGAATCATTTCTCTGTAATGCTAAATATATCTTCATTTGTAAACTAAATTTTAAAAAAAGTATCACTCTCGTTATCCTTAAGGAAATATCACTTGAACAGGACATTTCTCTACAAATTAAAAAAGAGATTACACACTGAATTATTTGTTATCGATTTTTGTCATGCAAGTGCTGAAGAATTTGTGTTAATAGTTAGAGCTATTCCAGTTGGTCAGTATAATTTACGTACCAGAAGAAAGTGACATAGAGGGCTCTAGCTGTGAAGGTGAATGGTCAGGCTGAAGTGTAAAAAGCAGCATTATTGGTTTACCAAACAGTAAAGGATCTTAGATGAATACGCTTCCAAACTGGAATATTCTGGTTTCTCCTGATTGTATTAAATGGTGAAATCGGCACAGTGACAGTGAACAACTTTGATTTGCAGTGTGGTTATACACAAGTGCCAGTGTATTGGTGGCTTGATTTAAAATGCTATTTCATTTTTGATTTAGAACAAAACTGCATCAACCTAAGTATTCAGGCAGATTTCTCTCTGTTTTTGTCTGTTTTGACGGAGAGTGTTACTAATATTCGTGTGAACTGCAGATTTTTTTATATTCTATCTGCCTTCCTGTCTGAGGTCAACTTCCAATCTGTCTTCTCATCCTACTACTGGCAACTCCCTCCTCCAGAAAAGGGTGAATTTGAGACATGGTGAAAGTGAAGAGATTTATAGTCTGTGTTTATTCTTTGAAAGTAAACCTTTATAGAGTTCTTGTAAATTTTATGAATCAATGTCATGGACATGGTGTAGGCTTCAATCAGTTGGACCTCAATAAGAAACAAAGCAGCTCCAAAAATATATACTTATTTTGGAAAAGGGAAGTTTTGACAAATTTGCATATCAAAAGTTATTAATACAAATGTTTGACATTTCAAGTAGTTTAGAAATATATCTTGACTAATTATAAACTAGTATTGCTTGATTAGAATACACGATTTTGAAGTCTTGACTCAGAAAGTGCCTTGATCACATCACTGACATTTTCCCTTTCGTAACTATCATGTTTTCTACATTTTGGTAAAAAAAAACAATTGTGGTATTGGGTAGTAGCTGTAATAGGTACTATTTTGGGAAAACATATCTTCAACTGCAGGGGCTAAATTCATATGCTGTTGAAGTGACCAATTTGTTTGAGCATGAAAAAACCTTGCTTGACAAATCAGGTTACCAGCCAAAACTTCTTCTGATGTATAGTGTTTTGGAATGGTATTTATCTGTAATGCTTAAGAAACTCGCCCCACAGACACCATATTTGAAACTCATGCCTTGGAAAGGAGTAGAGTGTTACCGTTAAGCATTGCATAGAAAAATGCTGAATGTATTTGATGTAAATTAAACGTAGCACGAGAAGGTGATACACAGTATTGTCATTAAATGGTGGAATTCAAGTTTGTTTCTAACATCACGGAGGTCTTCACAGGAAGGTTGAAACTCTGAACGGTAAATTCAGTAACCTGCAACCACTTGAAAAATATTCTAGTTTATCTGAGCCACTCCCTTTTATTGATGCTTCCGTAATTGTGACCTGCTCTGTGAAAATGATTCACGTCTCCAGAGCCACTTTGTAGTTAAAGGCCTTTGAAATAACCTTGCACAGTTTTTAATAGGAATCCTCAACATTTAACATCGACACAACATCCATGTTCATTGTACCAAACTTAATGACACGTCAAAAGAAAGAGCTCAAATTCCTCAATCTAATACTCAAAAACGTAGAACTCAAAGTGGCAGGAGAGCCGTGTGACTCATTTTTACAAAGCAGATCACATATTCTTGGCAGTGCAAAATGAGACCGAGTATTGTTTGAAGCATCAGAGTAATTCAACAACATCCAACAAGTTCTTTAGGTGGACTTGTCTTGACCTTTCACCTTTGTAAAGTTACTGCGCTTAACGTGTAATTATGGAAGACGTTCATATTTAAATTGAGAGCCATTATTTACATTGTATATTACTGGAGAATTTGAATGGTCTGTCCGTAGCGAGAACTTTATTTTTTTTATTTGCTCAAGGCAAAAAAAAGTGGCTATAGTAAACGTAATTGGAGGTTAGCATTGCTGACAAATTTGCTCATTTTAAAAGTAAATTCAAAAATATTTCACATGCACCTAGAATGTTTGCTTTGATTTCTTTGAAGTTACCCTGCTCTTTTTTAAGTTTGGAGAACTGCATTGCTTGACACTGAAGTTTAAAGTGGGAGATTTTTTTCTTTTGTAATTTTGTGTGATATTGTAGTCTGATTTTTTCCTGAACTATGAATGTTTTTATAATGGGAAAACCTATACTCTAAAAAAGTACTTGTTTAAGCCTGCTGTTGTTACGCCATTATAGCATTTCTAGGAGTTTCTGTATATTTGTATTAATTATATCAGCAACTCTTCTCAATCAGTTGCCAATAAATTTGAAATATGCCATTGGAGTACTTACGTTGGCTTTCCTTTTTTTTTACGTCATTGGTTCTAATTCATAGGATGGTCCATAGTGTAAACTTGTTCAATTTTGAGGGTGTATGCTCTGACTGTTAAAAGAAAAATGGAAAGCTTTTGGACTACACACAAAAGACCAGCTGAGACATTGATACTTTTTATATTTTTTAATTTTTTTATTTTTTTCTATTTTTGTATTTTTTGGTTTTTTTTATTTTTTTTTCCAATTATTTTATCGTTTGTTTTTTTTTCCTCTTTATAAATTACTTAATAAAGAAACCGCTACTTAAGCAGTACAATTGACCTGATGCATAGTCAATACATAGGGGAAATGAGGCCAATAATGACATACTCCCAAGAAATGCCAAGCGTTATTTCATGATGGAACTGGGAGTTCACAGGGAGTTTACACCTTATACGTTTCATTTTTTAGAATTTTTAACTGCTAAAGGACTGGGAATAGGGCCAGAAAGCATCTTTTTAATGAAAAATCTGGTCTAGATATCCATTGTCTTAAAAGGGAAATGACTTCACTAGAGGAATGTGCAACTTTTGAGAAGGGTTTTTTTTCTGTAAGAAAGTCTCCACCAGACTGGAATCGTAGTTCCTTGTAATAAAATACCAATTTAATAAATAAGTAGAGGAAGGTTTGCCAAGCCATCTTCTAGTTTAGGGATCTATATAAAGTCAAGTCCAAATTTGACACTTTTAAACAAAAACCACAGAAAGATGATCAGTTTTTAAAATTCTGAATGTTCTCATTAATAGTTTCTTGAATTCAATACTCCATGTAGTCTCAGTCAGTTATGTTTCCTCTGTTTTTATTCTACACTCGCACTCACACTCACGCAGCAGCATTCACTCTCTCAAGTTTTGGCTCAAAACACTCCATCTCACACATTTGCATTAAAACAAAAAAAAATTACTTAAAAACATGTCAAAATGTCTTTGCTTTGCCCCAGGCCTGGATTGCCATTCAAAAAAAATAAAAATAAAACACTGCATCCACGCCTATTTGTGGTTTCTGTAATCGCATCAAGAGCTAAAAGACTTAACGGCATCAGTGTTTTAAAAAAAAAACGAGGTCTCATCATCCAATTTGAATAGTTTAGGTTAAGCTCTGACAGAACTTGGGGAAAAAAATCAGCGCATTTAGAACAATCCCATGCTCTCTCACCATCACTACTTCATATCCACAGAACTTAAGGCCAACAATGGGAAGTTTGTGTCCATATGCAGTCCAATTAAGAAAGGATTTCTACAGTAAGTGGCATTACATTATTTGATTAGTCATTTTAAGGATCACTGCAACATTAAGTATTTGACAATATACTAGCAATCGATGTAGAGTTTTATTTCCAGTGGCAAATACGCCTTTACAATCCTGCCTTGAAGCTTTCAAGAAGATTGAACCATCTTGTAACTTGAAAATAAAAATTTGCACTGCATTGTTCGTAGCTATTAACATCATTTTAGATGACTGCCTCATACCGAATTGTCATGAAATATTTGGCTTCTGAAATTCATGTTTATCATTTTCTAAAACAAAAATCTCAAATGAAATTTGTTTTCTCCGTTTCAAATTTGAGGTAGGTCTCCCCCAAAATGCGATCAATAATAAAGTTAAAAAACAGCATTTAGAAGCTTTTTTTTTGTTTAAAAAAAGTCCCTCGGTCAAAGGTTACTTTTTGAAATTTGAGCAGCTTTGATGACTGTAAGAATACAGTTTAGCTTTGCAATCAAGTGCCGATTTCTCCTACGTGGTCCTCGCCGTCCTTTGGAGTATAAAAAGCATTCTGTTGAAAGGAAAATAGAAAAGGAGAAATGTGTCCATTAACGGGCACCTGAAATGCAATTGCTTTCAAGGCAGGTTTATAAATGCTCTTTGGTGTCCCATTTGAATCGATTTTCCATTTTTTGTTGTGCCATTTAATATAAAGGACATTTTGGGACTTTAACTCTTGCGTTAATGCAAATTCACTTATTTACGAAGAAAGAGTGATGTCTTCTCTGGCAGAAATCCCTTTATTTTGGACCAAGGTGCAAAATAAGTGGCTCAGGGCAGTGGCCATTCTAAAAGTCATCTTTGTTAAAATTAGATTAACATTACGCTGAATCCCCAACTCTTCCCGGGAACTACCCTCCGAGTTCTTTCAAACTCAACTGGACAAATTTTGAAGGATTTTATAGGATTTGGGGCGAGTAAAGCAAAGCCCCCGAATTCTTAGCGCAGCTGCAAACCAATGTTGTACGACAGTGATGTGACACCTGCACAATCATTAAAAGATCACATTTTTTGATGGGAAAAAAAAAACACTTTTTTTTCCAGTTTGCAAGCTCTACAAGGGTCCTGTGAGGAATATGAAATTCAATGACAGAAATTAAAGACAAACTGAAAGAGGACTGTACATCTGGGGGATGAGGAGGGGTGCAGCGTTTGTTGGGTTTTCTCTGATTTGTATCCGCACTTACATATTTCAGAAGCCATCTGATGACATGGCTTGTTCTCAGTTGCCGTGTTGGTAAGCTGGTACCTGGCCATGAGCCTGTCCCATCGCTGAAACAAAATAACGACAGAGGGTTGCTAACCAGCAACTCAACATTCTCACATCTCTTACTGTCATACTGAGTAGGATACCGTCAAAACTAGGTATGCAATAAGCAATGTCAGAATGTCCCTGGAATGGCAGAAACAGGATTCTGACAATAGTTTAAAACTGGTCCAATTTATTTTACCATAATGATGGGTCTTGCTAATGAACACTGATCAAGTTTCCAGCATCACATACAGAGATGATTGCAAAAAGCACTCTCTGTACAGGCCTAATCACTTTGGGCCTGCAAACCTGGGCCTACAAAATTACCCCTTCAGAATGAAATCCAACTTCAAAAGTGAATCCTACAGTTTGTGCATTACAGAAAAGCATGCCATAGAGTTTGTCTAAACCTTCCTCACCTTGTGTTTGCGCCAGTATGTGTGTTTGAAAGGGGCCTGGATTGGCCACCATGTGGTTCATGGCTTGTCCAGGTTGGGGTACTAACGTTACGTTTGCCTGCGTGGGATGTGGGTGTGGATGGGCGTGCAGCTGGGTCACGCTGGTGATGTTTGTGGCTGGGGGTGTGGAGGTGATGTATTGGGACACGTACTGCTGGTGCGGACCACCAAACTGCTGCATCTGGCTGGACTGTGCCGCCATGTGTGGGTGACCCTGTTGCATGGGGGCCGCGTTGTAGACTATCTGCTGCGGTTGAGGCTGGAGGTGATGGGGCTGTGACACGGCGTGGGGTGGCTGGTGTCCTTGGTGCTGCGGCAGAGGCATGTGGTGGACCGGACTCGGGGTCGGCCGGTGCTGTTGCTGCTGCTGTTGCTGTTGGGCAGGCTGTGCCATGGGAGAGGGTTGGGAGCCGTGACTCTGCTGCTGGGGTGGGGTGCTGTGAGGTTGGGCGTGGGGGTGTTGATGCTGCTGCTGCTGCTGCTGTTGTTGCTGCTGTTGTTGCTGTGACAGGTGCACCACAGGCTGGGGATGGTGATGGTGCGGCGGCTGTTGTTGCTGCTGCTGTTGATGCTGCTGGCTTGGTTGCGGTGCATGCTGCTGTTGCTGCTGTTGTTGCTGGGCTGATTGATGTTGATACTGAGTATGTATTTGTGGCTGCACCTGCCCTCCTTGGGCTTGCAGTGGTGTGCCGGAAACTGTCCAGATAAAAAAAAAAACCATCAAATATCACTGGTTGTTGGTCGATATTACAATTAGAGTGAGTCAGCTTGGGAAACTAAGAAAGAGCTGATCATTATGATAAACACAGAAAGAAAAATAGAGCAACTTTTTGAAACAAATTTGGATTTTCCGGTTTGGGTTGCAAACACACTGACTGAAGCCAAATTCAGACTGAAGGTATCGGGAAACTGTAGCATCACTCCCCTCTCTCCATTTGGCCAACCTTTCTTTGGTAACCTGACGTTGTTTTGTTCTAGAGTTCCACAATACTGCCTCAGAGACAATGTTCAAAACCACACTTTACAAGACACATTAACTGAACAATAACAAGATGTCACGCTGGTTCCACACAATCGAGACGTTAATCCTGTTGACGAGTGGTTAACTCACCTAATACTGGGGAGGTGCCCTGCATGTTCGTCTCTGACAGTGGATGTATATGAGGTGTAGGTTGGGGGTGAGCTATGCCTTGAATGCTGGGCTGAGGCTGCATTTGCCTGAATGGAACTGCATGAGGATGCTGAAATAACCAAAGTAAACTCCAGCTTCAAAAAACTTGTTTCTTTTCCCACAAACAAATGGAGGTCGGAATTTGCCTCCTACAGGGGTGAGACCGGACCACAATGAAAAATACATGAACTTCGGTGTGTATTATTGTACAAGTACATGAATACATGTATGTACATGTATATACATATGTAGAACTATTTAATACTGGAGAGACATGAGACTGGGTACATAAAACCTCCTTAAAAAATCTGAATGTGTAGTCTCAAAAGAAAAGTATTTCATGTGGACCTCAATACATAAGTTATAAATGCAATAATATTGTTAACATAAACACAACCACTACATTTTAACGGCTGTAAAAGAGACATCAAAATGTGACATGGCAATAATGATAGATTAAAAAGTCCGTCATGACTGTTAATAAAGTTGTTGGATTTTTTTTTTCTGTTGTGCTTGATGTTGTTATGCCTTCTGAATGCTCGTACCTATGTTCAGTTGAATAACTGACAGATTGTGTATTTTGTAAAGTCATCTTAGTTTATGGTAACGGTAGTAACGTGGTGTGCTGAGCGGTTACGAGTGTGCACCCTGATGCTGCTCTATCACTGCCAAGAGTTTTAGTTTGCCCAGTTGCCCCAATCAATGAAAAAACCCATCTGCAAATTTAGAACACCGAAGGAATCTGCACCTGTTTCCACGAATTAAATTTGCAGACTTTTCTCACCATGATTGCAATCGCATCCTGTTTGTTACGCGTTACGAGCACGCGTTGTGTACCGCGTTGTGCCTACACTTGCTGGTGTACATTCCAGTAAAACCACAAAAACACAGCCTTGTACCCAGTATGTATAAGCAACATGCACATGAAACATTTCCTACAACAGGGAACAAGGATGGGGTTGCGACCTCTGTCGTGTCTTCATGCTGGTACAGCTGTTACAAGCGCGACTGTTGAAATTTACGGTTTGCAATCCAAGAACTCTGAGTCAATCCACTGCCATCGCACGATATTTCTTTGTTAGAGGCACAGTGCAAGAACTGACAGATATCATATTACCATTCAGTTCTGTTTATTTAGTGTACTATGTGCTTGCAGACTGATATTTGGATGGTGACATATGACGATGTACAAAAGTCACTTGGTGTCCTGATTTTACAACAAGTTAATTTTCTCATCTATGTTACGCATTTGTAGCCAATACTGTATGTGTATACATGTACAGTGGAACGCTGCTATAACGAACAAGACGGGGTCCACGCTAAGCGAATTTAACTGCCGAACGTTTTGTTGCCATGGTGAATAGCGCCCTCTCTTGTCTAACTGAAGTGCACCCTCTTGTGATACCTTGGCTCGCTGTTTTCGTGATGTTTTGCCGTTGCATTCAAGTTTAAGGTTTCTAGAAATGTATCTGTTAATTATTTCTGCTTTTCATTTAAACTTGAAGAAAAAAATTGATATTGAGTTTATCCTAAAAGTCGTGAAACTACCGCTCAGGATCGATCTCTGATGCATGCTGTGGCGAATCTCGGTTGATTTGTGTATCAGCGGCACCCTCTTTAAACTATTGTTAGTGTAATGCCACTGTGCTCGTACATGCGGTTTTCTTCCGCACCCGGTCATGTGAAGTCGCAAAACCAGTTCAATACCGTTGACAACTAGTGGCTTTCCCTTCTAATCCTTGGGCATATAATGGCCACTTGTCACTTTCCAACATAAAAAAACACTACTGTTTTATCATATTGACGCTTTCGGGAATTACAAACGGCAACTGAATAGTGTTCAGTAGGTTCTGTGCACAAATTATTGGGAGCCAAGAACAATGTTCGGTACAGCCGAATGTTCGGTATAGCGGCGTTACACTGTACATGTACATGGTAAATGGCATGCAGCTTATGTTCTGGACCCGATGCACAGGAATACGCAATATACCCCATTCTGCCATTACTTTCACTACTATTACCCCCTTGTACCCACTCTGCATACCACGGAATTTCAGAGGGAGTAATATCGGTTTGTGTACTTCTTGATCGCCTGTACTAAACTTTACCAAGTTGCTCATGAATCTTTTTTCACAAATAATTCAACCCAAAGTGTTAAACCACACAAATCTGCAAAAACCAACACCAGATTTTGTTTAAAATCTGGAAATCCCCCCCCAAAAAAACGGAAGAATCTCAACCCTGTTCCTATCACCTCAAAGCTGAAACAAGAAGACTCAAGATTGCTGTATTTCTTGATGCCATGTAAACATGTAGGGTTTTACTGTGCCAGTTACAAGGATGGATATTTCTATATGTGACCATCTTTCAATGCAGTAGCAAAGGATGTCTACACTCTTCCCCATGCTTGAGTAATTCCCATTGATTTGGCACACATACACAGAGAGCCTTGAAACAGTCCCAGGAATGTGTGGCTGTGGTATCTTTGTCATTTCAAACAATTGGTGTTTTGGGCTGAAAAAGTAGCCCACCTTGGTCAAGGTGGTCGTGGTTTAATACGATCTACAAATGGTTAACGGGAAAACCTGAAACACTTCCACTATTCAAAGTTGACACACAAACTTCAAACTGGAGATTTCAGACAGGAAAAAACTTTGAAGTTCCTGACACTTTTTTCACTTCAGTAATGACAGACGTGTCTTCACTGTAGTTATCTCACATTGTACAACATGCACCTTTTTGTGTGATGGAAAATCCCAAACAAACATGGAAATTTGGTTACCGTTGCCGACCTCATTATCACAGGTAATTCTTAAAGAAACGCAAGTCTTTGAAAAAAAAAATGGTTCTCACTGTATGCTCTCTACAGGTTTTTCCAAGGCTTGTGAGCTACAATGCCTTGGATGCTCCTGAGGAATCCTTGACTTCATCACCAGAGTAATGATGGCATCAGCGAGCAGTAAATAACAAGGAAATCAGCTGATCTAAGAGGTTGCATGCCTGTTAGGGAGAAAGGAATAACCAATTGACCTACCTTTGGATACATTTGATAATGACCAGGTTGAGGGAGCATCTGTTGGCCAGTAATGGGCCCCGGTATACCCTGCTGAGTTTGGAAGGGTATCATCTGCCCAGGGTGATGCTGGAAGCCCATGGGGGAGACCAGAGGCTGGCCAGCTGCCACCGAGGGAGGAATGACATGGGTAGGTAGGTCTGTTGGCGGCTGCGGCCTGGGCATGTTGGTGGCTGAGCTGGCATACTGGAAACCTGGAGTATATTTAAGTACCAACAAAAATGTTACCATGTCAAATATTAGAGAGATCAGCAGATCGTATAGATGCTTACTGTTTTAAGCAAGATATGGTTCACAGGCCAACATATTACATTTACTCTACATTTAATGGTTGGCAGTCAACGGGACAAGCTGAAATAAATCAAACGGGCATTTCTTATGTACAATGCCAACTGCAGTGCACCAACAGGTACAGTTATTGTCAGATGTAAGCTATCTTCTAGTCACTCTAATTTCTCCACCAAAACGTTGATGTGACTCTTCAAAATATGCAAAATGAATGCGTATGAAATGTCACACTGTGACTTTCATTGGTTCCGGTTCCAGTTCCGCTTCGTCAGTCGATGAAGACTGCACAACAGTGAGTGCAAAGTAAGTGAACAAAACGCCGACACTGTACACGCTTATCTGACAGAAACAGGCACACAACCTGTACGTCTCAACTGGGCTCTCCCAAGTCACACAGCGCCCTCTATGGGCAACCACGGACGGAGCCACTCGCACTGCCTCTCTCACCCTTTTTGGCCATCATCTTGGGCCCCATGTGAGCGGCCTGTGCCTGGGCCTGGGCCACCGCCGTCTGCTGAGACATCGGGAAGGTGCCCGGGTAAGTCTGGCCGCTGGACAGGATGTAGCTGCCTCCCATGGGCTGGGCAAACTGGTTGGGGTGCTGCAGTATGATGGAACTGGGGCTAATGGACTGTGGCCTTGGTGGAGTGGGCGTCTTAGTTGGCATACCTCTCTGTGATGTCTGGGATGAAGCAGCAAAGAAGGGGAAAAAATTACAATTACAGGGTGATGAGTGAAGAAGACAATGAAGAAATGTTCAGTTTTAGTGGTGGGAGGAAAACCCTAGACTGTGTTTTAGGGAAAAACCACGGAATCAGGGAGGGACTGAAAACCCAATCCACGTGTGGACTGAGCAGGGAAAGGCCAGGAAAGAACCACTGTTCCAACCTGCCTCCCCATCTGGCTACCTGACAAACATGAGCACTTGTAAGTTAAGAGATACTGACACTTCCCACTTTCTCTTCTATACTCTACCCAAGTTTTCTGTCACCCCTTGAGCAAATTTCATACTGGTTCCATCGCATACTTTCATATGGATTCACCATACTACAGCTACCGTAGGACAACCCTTCCTCCACCCTGGTAGTTCCATATTGGTTCCATCGCATACTTTCATATGGATTCACCATACTACAGCTACCATAGGACAACCCTTCCTCCACCCTTCCCATCCTTCAGATTCACCATACTTCAGATACCATAGGCCAACCCTTCCTCCACCCTTCCCATCCTGCCAATCTGCTTTGTGCAGGAACATGAGATGGTGCATTGTAAGGTGAGAATGACATGCCTCTGATTGGAGAACACCCTGTAGGTGCCGCACAGATTTATGACTGTTTGGCAAGGGATGCACTAAGCAAACGCAGTCAGTTTCTGTTGGAATGCACCGTCCTGAAAGAGCACTGTGAGCCAAGTCAAATTCTCTCCCACCAACCTGCCTCTTCTTCGTCAGTGAGGGGGGTGCTACCACTCAGGGGAGAGATGTGACATCCACTATGACTTGTTATTCCACAATTCACAACTAGGCGCGTCAGAATTTAAAATTCCCTTGGGCAATGATCTGACAGTTGACTGCACTAACGACAATGGACAAGGTACAGTCAACGATTTGTCAGACATACTAGGCAAGCACACTTACCACAGCTGCTGTTGGAACAAATGGCTTGGCTAGGGGATTGAGCTGTATCTCTTTCTCCTTGCTAGGCTGTGTGGGCGATGACTTCCCAGAACTATGGGACATTTCGAGGTCATGAAAAGTAGAACGGTGCAAAGCTATTACATTCAAGATATCCAATCATACTTCAGACCATAAAAATTAATCAAGGTGACAAAAAGTAAATCCCTGAGATCCCCGAGTTATAGAGAAAATTCTTAA